CCCTAACTATTCTATGATTCTATGATCTTGGATCACAAGCATGACTTTGCAGGAAAGAGACAATCATCCCACTGCCACAAAGCATGCCTTTTTGACTCTTTCACTTCAGTGACAAGCTTCAGTGACGAGATCCATGTTCAGTAGTTTCAAAACTGCTGCTTATGCAAGACTGAGTATGTCTTTCTCCCCTTTAATTTTAAACAGATTTGGTTTGTGGCAGCAGTTGTGACAACTGCACTGAATTTGGGCTACAATCAAATAGCATTTCTTAGCTTTCAGAATACATTATTTGGCTTGCAGAAAGCATTCTTCTCTTTCAGTTGGAAGGCAGGGAGGCTCATATATGTGATTTGAGTTGTTTGCATGTTTGGACAATGCACAGGATGTAGTCAAATTAATGCTTTTCTCAATAAAATAAAATGTTTTGGAGTATTTTTAAAATTATGACAACTGTTTGCATATAGAAGTATAAACAAATTGTATTATGCAGAGGTCTATTATCCCTCAGAAAATAATTTGAGAGTCAGTTAGGTTCATATGAGAGCCAAACTGAAAAATGAAATGCTAATATATGAACTACACACAACTATAAATAATGTTTAAGGTTGCTAGCAAATGTGTGTCCTTCCATAAACACAATTATGTAACTCCGTATTTGGTTGTTAACTCTCCCTAAAATACTTGCTCCCTATCGTGTCATGATGACTCTGGAAATCATTAACCTCCTGAAGACAACAAATACACGTCCCCTCTGACCCTGTGCCACAAGGCCTAATTACAGCCCCAGTTCTGCAGCTGGGGAGAAATACCATTTCCTACAGTTGCTGACACTGCTGCATACACACACTCCTTCTGTGCAGCCTGCCCCATGAATGGTTACTGCCATGAGAGCCAGTCACTTGACTGCCTTTGATCTAAAAACCCAGGGAAATGGAGACAAACAAAAAATAGCAAAATGAGCAAGGACTCTATAATTCAGAAAATCTGACTAAAACACGATGGAGCTGGGTTTTACATAAAGTGCCTACAAACCCGCTAGCTTTTCTGCCTCCTTCTTCAGGGACCTGAAGTATTAACTTTCAGACATGGTGAGGAGAGACACTTGAGAGCTGAATTCACATCATCCCTTCCTGCTCTCCTCAGTGACTGTCCCTGGCTCCCCCAGGAGCGGATCCTTGTGCTTTAGTCAATGAGCTAACAAATTGGGTTTGTTCAACGAGAAGAAGAAGGCTACTGCCTCTCCCACAGAAACAGCTTTCTCTGGGCAGCAGTAACAATACATTCAGCTTGTATCCACCCCTTTGAGGGGCTCTGGGGTTTCTCAGTGGCCTGAGAAGTATGTGACACAAACCATGCTATAAAGGTCAGTGCTTCTATTTCTTCTTTTCTACAGTGGAATATTAGCCTTCCAGGACACCCAATGCCCCTTTCAGCTTGCACATGAGATGGCAGTTTCTCTGTCTCAGGGTTCAACTAAAATACCTACCCAAAATATTTTAAAGGAATTCAGTGGAAGGTACAAAGCAGATATATTTCTTCAAAGGATTTATGAAAGCATTTAACAGAAATGTCTTACCTCCTATGTCCCCTTCAGTAAGAAAAGGTGTGTGACTGGAAACTCAATAAGTATTCAATATCCGATTTTTAAAATTATTTAAAGTTGTATATAAAAGAGCATCTCTCTATAATTCAACTCATTATTTCAGTTTTAATTGTCTTTAGAACATTTTAAATTAATTTCAGACACTGTCAACGCTTTTCTGCAAACTACCTATTTTAAGTGTTACATACCAATTTCAGTAGTAGAGAGTCTTTGGCCTCTTGTGTCTTTTTAAGAGTTCATCAGAGGAAAATACAGTAATATTGTCAGATTTTGTGCATCAGTGGACAGATGGACTGTTCCAGAAGAACTAGTGTACCAGCCATACAGACCTAAAGAGCAGACTTTTCCATGTTGATGAAAACTTTTGCACACTGAAGGTGTCTACCCAGATCCGTAATTCAACAGAGTGTGAAAGGTCTAGGCTGCATTTCAGCACACAGAGGTGCCACATGACCCAAACCAAGGAACCGACCCACAGAACGTGTGTTTAACCTCCTTTCTGTAGCCAGAAAATTCATATTACTAGTCAGAAAATTCATATTACTAGTCTCATAAACAGCATAAATACATTTGCACCATTTTTCTAAACAGGCAAGGCAACTAAAGCACAGTGGGAACAAAAGTTCAGTCCCATCTTCTGCTAGACATTCAGAATGAATTCTCTGTGAATCTCAAATTCCCAATGCTAGTAACAGATCCTTGCAACTGCTTTTCAGAAACACTTAGCTTAGTATGTCCCTGTTTTCTGACACTGTAAATAAAGTGTTAAGTAAACCGAGGAATTCTCTGCACCATCCTCAATACAGCACCATATTAGCTTTCAAGTTCTGAAGACAGTCTGGAACTTATTAGCATGAAGTACTGCCAAAAATGTTACATGGAATTAAAGGTGGCACTGAAATGCAAAGCAAACTACGAAGAAGAAAGGAACAAGATTCTTCAGGGGAGAAACAGTAGATGATGGAGGATGCACACTGTTATTAAAATGGCAAGATATCCAGTCTCATTTTGCAGATAAGCCTCAATTGTTATTGCTCCCTTCGAAACTGTTCAAACAAACAGTGCTGCTGCCAGCTTCTCTAACAGGAAAATTACGCATGTTCTGACTGGCAACCCAGGAAACCCATGCTAATGTGGTAAATTTAAAGGATAAGTGTGCTTTGTACATTAAGTACATTTTTATCAAAGCTATTCTGTTAGTAATACTGAGAAACGCTCAAGTACCTTCACAGTGAAATACTTAAAATCACAGCAACAGTTAGCTCTAAAAGCATTTACTGGCTTCCCTGAAAGCAGAATTGGAGAAAAGCAAGATTTTCGTCAAGCCAGGCAGTTGTTTCAACTATGAAAATGTACACTTGAGGAATTAGCTTGCCTGCAATTTAAAGGCCTACAGTGAAGTACCCAACAGCCAGTGCTTTCCAAAGCTTTTTAAGGTTAATTGAGCATTCTCCTCAAAGAACACACATTCCATCCTCTTTCTCAACAGAAGATTTCTATTGAGCTTACACGTAAAATACAGAAAATGCTTGAAACAAACTGAAGCATGGTCACTCAAACTCTGACCTCAGTCTTTGGCAAAAGCTTCCTGCAAACACACACCTGCGTAACTGTCACCACTAGTTTAAAGAGAAAAAAAAAAAGCAGAATATTAAGATATCTTTTTAATTGTTTATGTGGGGTTTTGTTTTTAAAGTGTTCTACGGAAAATCTTGTACGTTCTATCTCTATCCTCCATTAGAAGCTGTTTAAACACGGAAATTAGTTTTGTCATCTTGTTCCTTTCCAGCACTTTCTAAAATCCAAACATAATTGTCTTGACAGCCTGAATGCTTCCATCAAACTTGTCAGTTCCTGCTGACATGTACTGATCTCTTACCTGGCTTGACTGCTTTCATTACAGCCCGTGATGACTTCAGCACCGCCTCATAGATAGCCCTCTGGTCAGGAGTGAACTTTCCATTTGCAGGGAAGGTGCAGGTGATGTCAGAGCCATAGCAGTAATACTCTCCTCCCATATCAAACAGGCTGAAAAGGAAACGGGGGGGAGAAATGAAAATTTAATGCCAGAAAAGAGTTAGAACAGAAGATATTTCTCTTGCTGTGCACTTAAAAATCATCTGCATTTTGGGAGTTGGCCACCACCTGAACGCTGTTCCTAAGTAAAATAAGACAATAGTTCCTTGGAATCTCCTAGCTGAAAAGTATCTGCATTACATATGGCTTAAGTGGACACCCCTATGGGCTGTGCTGGTCCTGGATGAAAACACCAAGAGAATGCATGAAGGAAGATAAGAAGTACATGAGGAATCCATACTCTTCGGTTCCAGTTTCTAGTGCCTCTTCTCAGAAGAAAACACGCATTCTTTTTTTCTTTGCTGAGAAATGCTAGCACCACATAGAGGGTCTACCCTCAAAACTTAACAGAGAAATGGTAATTAAATGATGGCCTTTTGTATCTAAGTGTCAAAACGCATCTGATGGTTTAAATAAAACATTCCCAATAAAGGTTGACTACCACTCCTCACAGTATAATCTTCCCTTTAAGACAAACCTGCCTAACAGGGACTAAAGAAACAAAGATTATGAGACAATCCAACCAGAAAAGAACATTTAATACAGTTTTCTGCATCAGAGGTAGAAGAAAATAAAATATTAACTGCTTTCTGTTATGGGGACAAAAAACCTGGTTTACCCCTTGAGAAGTGTATTTATTCTATACATGAATCAATGATTCACCACTGACAGCTCAGCTGCCAGAAATCAATCCACAAGAATAGCAAGTGGGTCTCCACACCCTTGTGAGAACCAGGTTAGGCATCTGCAGTACTATGCTGCTTGAGACTACCTGATAAGGCACTGCACTGGTTTCAGCAGAATCAAAAATCAGCAAATAACCAAGTCACCGTTTGGATCAAACAACAGCCCCCCTAGTTCATCACATATTAATTACATATAGGCACATAGTACATGTAAGACTTTGGTCTTGATGCACAGTATTTGTGTGACCTCCTGATTTCTTAGGTAACAAATAAGACTTGAAATCTGCTAATTTAAATCTTCTTCCAGTCACCTCAAACAACTGTATGAGACTCTCATCATCACAAGAAATATAATTTTCCTTCACTGTGTTTGAAAACCTTGGAGTCTTCTTCGTCTCACTTCTGCTTCACAGCAAAGTCAGTCAGATAACACAAGCAGAAGGAAGGACACTCTACTGGGGCACCCTCTCTGCCACAGAGTCCTAATTACAGCAGTAATTAGGAAAACCGCCCAGTGTAGCTCTGTCATCAACCAGCATACATGACTAAGTAAAGATAAGCATAAGCTACCATAAAAAGTGCTACAGCACTCAGCTGTAAATGTTCACCACTTCCAAAATAGCTGCCACTGCAAGCAATGGACAGTAAGTAAACAAAGGCAATCATGATAAAGCCAAGTAATATTCCAGCAGGGCTGGGACTCTCCTTGCTGCACTGCATACACAGGCACATACTGACGAAATTTACTCCAAGAAATTTTAAAATCCACCCTACAATTTCTTCCAAGAATAAATCTTTGCACTGAGTGCAAGCCCTGCTGAAGTCATCACCAGCCTCCCCAAACTGGGCAAGGTTCACCTGCAGAGAGACTTGCAGGACTGGAACTTCAGGAACAAACCCCATAGTTTACAGATGCGGAACTGCACAAGGCTTAAAGCTACAGGAGCAAACTCCTTAGGAGAATGCCACAGAGAGAACTGCAAAGCTATGTATGGACACACAGAGCTAAACCAAACACTGTCTACATCCACGTAAATATGAAACTCGGTATGTTAAAACCAGAAAGCTGCTAATTGAAAAAAGATACACAACAGACAGCAATGTCGGGCCCAGAGGGTAAGAAACCCCCACAGAATTTGACACCAACACAGCAACTGTAAGCCTGCCTAGCCAAACCTCAGAATCAGAAACCCCATCAACACTGCCTAAGTTTTGATTTTATGGTTAGACTCGCTGCTAAAAATAACTAATGATACACACAGAAAATCCAAGGATACAGAAAACTAGTTGCAGCAACTAAGAATCATGTAAGAAGCTGCTACATTCTCTAACGTGCCAAGAAGATAGAGATTTCAGGCTAGTTATAAATCTTCCAACCTATCCCAGACTGAATCCTTTCAAAATCACAAATCAAATTTCATGGTGCTTCATGGGATTCACAGCAGCTCTGTGGCCTAACTGTGTTGCATTTATAAGTCTTAAGTGTTGACTCAGCATGGTGACAGTAAAGCTGTGACCGACAACTTCCAAACTCCCTGTCACATCACTGGAAGTTGCTATGCTTTCTATATTCTACCTGAAGAATAGTTATTCCGAATTTACCACAGGCAAAGCTATGTGTTTAAACTTAAAATTATCAGCATTTTTTCAAACCCATTCATCACTTGGTGGTTGTTAAATACTTTTTTGAGTTACTGGAGCACTGAGTAATGGAAAAAGAATATCACAAAGCTGATGGTACACCAAAACAAAGCTCACAAGCTAGGAAGCACCATTTGTTCAGGTTTCTTGGCTTCCACACAAGAGACGACATAAGGGAAGATGATCAAATTCCACCTTGGAGCACAAAGCATCATCCAGCCTGTGTGCTTCACTGAATAAGCATCCAAACCAAACTGTACATTTGGGAGATATTTTGGCTCGTATTGGGAATTCTCTTCCATTTAACTTCAGTTGGGAACATATCCATTAATTAAAATGTTGCCCAAGACATGGACATAGCCCAAATATTGCAGTTATCCTGAGGAAATAATGGGAGGCTGGGAAGATCCCAGTTTCATATCTTTGCTTGCCAGGCAAAATAAGTGTTGAAGCACACTTAAGTCAAATAAAATTCATGTGAGCTACTATCTTCTCCAGATGACAAACTGGGAAAAGTTTCTAAAATCAGGTTCCTTAAATCCTGGTTCCTTACAAAAAGTACATTTATTTTACCCTGAAATTAGATAGTAATTGCTAGTGAACTTACTAGTAAAAGAGATATTATAAATGTATTTTAGTATGTTCTCAACTGCATGGACAAAATTACCTGCCTGATAATGAAGTCTTACATGTCTTGCACATAAACAACTACTTAATGTTATTTGTATTGTTATCAAATGTAGCAGCAATCTAAACAAACAAAATGCACAAATGAAAATAGGCCTTACAGGCATCTTGATCTATGGCTTACCTTTTTAGAACTGTTTAATCTAGAGTAGTACATGCAATAACATAACCAAGTATCTCCAAACTCCATTGCATTTCCGTTTTTAAGTGCTATACATCTAGCAGACAGTATATGTTGGCTATTATAAAACTTAACTGTGAACTCAGTTTTCTGGTGAATGAAGAAAACTTTCATTCCAGAACATCCCTTTTCCTACTCCTTTTTCATCAAGGATGCAACTATTAATTGTTGATTTCAGTGAATGCAGGGATGACATGTCTGAGGTTTTCAGGTTTCTGAGTCATCCTGAATGGGAAGGTGGCTGGAGAAGGAGTATTGCTGGTGTGTGGTTGTACGTCTAAATTCTCACTGATTTAGTGTGAAGCTGATGAAGTCTTTTACTGCACAGCTCAATCTCTTCCAAAACTTTCAGAGAGAAGCTAATCTTGCTTTGCTTACTTTGTTGGGAGCAAAAGCAGCAAACACCCACCTGGATCCTTTTCAGGGTGAAAAGTACATGTATAAAAGTACAAAGCAGATTTAAAAGTCAGAAGACCTGAGCACTCTCTAAAAATTCCGTGTTACTATTTCAATATGTTTTCTAGAATAAGTAAGAAGCTATACCACAAGTAAAAGATGCATAGCAAAAATATTCCAAAATGCTTCCTGGAAGCATGGGCATAGCTCTCCTAGGGGAGGTCTCAGTTCTATGCATATATATAATCTTTCCTCCCGAACATATTGCAAAATACTGTAAACATTATTAACTAAAACTGAACAATGCAAAGTATGAGGAAAATCAGATAACCTGTCAGTTGCTCTACTGAGAGAATGACTCGCTTATGTATCATTAATACATTAGCCAACAGCACCAAAAAAAAGTTGCATTCTGCATCTGTTTTAGAAGTCACCTTCAAAAATTACTACGGGCATTTCATTCCTTTCATGTGGAAAAGGTCTGACACCACAACTTAAAATAATTTTATACATAAACTGGTATCAAGTTGAAAAGAAGCAGAAACACATGTTCCATGCCACAGCCTTGTAGAAAGCATCAGCTGGATGTGCCCTTCCATGCAGGAGCTTCTACACCTTTCCTCATCTGACCAAACAAGGCTTCTGCTTGCTCCCTGTGCAGGAACCGAGGATGGGAGTCTGGAGAAAATATTTCAAGTCCTGTTGATTTTCACAGAATCACAGAATCACAGACTGGCTTGGGCCAGAAAGGACCTTAAAGCTCACCTAGTTCCAATCTCCCTGCCATGGGGAGGAGCATTAGACGAGGTTGCTCCAAGCCCCTGTGTCCAACCTGGCCTTGAACACTGCCAGGGTTGGGACAGCCACAGCTTCTGTGGGCGCCCTGTGCCAGCACCTCAGCACCTTCACGGGGAAGAACTTCTTCATCATTCCTGATGTAAATCTCCACTCCATCATCTTAAATCCATTCCCCTTATCCTACAATTTTAAGTGAATTCAGGCTTCTAAGTCGGTACTGTAACCAATATGTTACATGACATGATGTGCAAAAGCTCTTTTCCCTTCCTGTGCCTCTGAAAGAATACAGATGAGTAAGATGTCACTGTGCTACTTTCATGGAACATTGGTACCACAAAATGCAAATTTATAGTCACATTTTTGGCTTTCAAGCCCAGAAAAATAATACGCATTTTGATACTGATTTTAGCTTTCTTAACCTCTGACTGTGAAGCATCACAAAACACTTCGTATAACACTGTAGATTTGAAAACTGTGGACTATAAAGAGCCATGTTCTTTTCTTCATAAATTCACTGTATACCGTTTTTTAAAAATAAAGCATCATCTTCCTCTAAGCATGTT